AGTGTTTGCCAAGTAAATATGTAAAACCAACAAGCACAATAAGTGGATAATACATATACATATATGTACATACACATGCATGTTGCACTTGTGACAGTACAATAACAATAACAATAATAATAATAACAACAACAACTGGAAGAAGCAGCAAGTACATAGCCAAAAATGCAACAGTTGACAGCAACTTCCGCTGTGCGTTGGCTTTGAGCGTCACGCCGGCTTCACATTCTACTTGACCAACACCAATACGCAAGGACGCCCTTCAAAGCAGCAGTAGCAACGCCAGCAGCAGCTTGTCCACTAACAACTACAACTAATGAGTACAAAAATTTTGCTGCGAAGTTTGCAGTAAATTTGGATTTTTAATACCCATTACGCCAAACAGAAAAGGAGCGTATCGATATCTAATTTATATTAGAATATGAAGCGTTACTGCCAATAAATGTATATAAATATGAAATACATTGTTAATATTATTAATTATTGAACATATATATCAATAAACATAAATTCAATAATATTAAAAGTTATATTTTTTTGTAAATTAAGGTGCTTGAAATTGCATGAATTGTTGTTTAAGCAACATACATTTTGAATTCGAATTCAAATTAAATTAAAAAGAACAGATTATTTTTTAGTAATTGGCTTAGACACTTAAACCTAGAGCTCAATTTTTAGGAGAAAGACCTTTCACTGAGTATTGCGGAGTCGTTAGCATTCGACTACAACATTCTTACTAGTTTTTCTTATTGCTAATACTAAGCCAAGGGCTTGAAGCATGTACAAGTTGGCCAGCTGAAACTTTAAGCCCCAAACGTTGTCGCTGCTGCGTACGTGTTGGTGTTCATTACGTACGTGTCTTTTTGGTCATATTACTCAAGTTGTCAGCGTTCTACGGCAGCAGCAGAAGGTGCAGAAGAAGCAACTGTGCTGAATATGATAGACAAATGGACTTAAAAAATACGCACGAACAACTCAACTCTGAGCAGATAGGATTGGACACATTCTAGTATGAGACAAACCCCCCTATTTATAGAGTATAATATTATAATAATACATATTCGATGTGAGTTTCACACCACTCTGCAAAGGCTGATAATCGTTGGCATTTTTAATATATCTGTAACCCATTCTTTTATATTAGTAAGTCGGATATTTAAGTAAGTGATATTTGAGCTGGAAAAATGCAGCTAAGATATTTAGCTTAATAACTGCATATTTTCTAACTGGATTTTATGGGACTGCTCATGATTGTTATCTTTTTCTGTCACTTAAGTGGAGCCTGAAGTCCTGCATTCAGTGATGATGCTATCCTGATAACTGTTAGCGAGTCTCTCAGGCTCTCAGCGATGCGCTTCAACATCCCTACCACAATGTGGTGCTGGCTTAAAAGTGCACTTGACCGCAATTTGCAAAGATACTAAGTTGGTGCAAGTTGTCGGGTGGTGCGTTGTGTTCGGTTGCTGTGGTGGTGGAGGGACAGCAAAGTGACAAGAGCTTGGCTACCTATGCGGTGTCAACAACTTTAAAATGAGTTTGTTGCCACACATACACTTACACTTACACTCAAACTCACCCACACAGCTGAGTCATAAATTTTATTTTTTTATATTTTGCTCGCTTTACGAGCTGTTTTACCTGCAGCGCTTTAATGAACACAGCATGTTGTTAGTTGTTGTTGCTGTTATTACTGCTTGGGGGCACATTTCGCGGTTGCTGCAGCAATACTGCAGTTAATACATGTGCCAATAAAAAATCATTGCATGCTTATGTGCGCTACTCGCAGCTACTGCATCATTTTCTTTATCTGCACTGTGGCCATCAATGAATGCAATCAAAGCTTTGAAAGTAACTTCTTCTATTTAACAGGGCTGCTGTGGGCAGGTCGTGGGTTTAATTGCTTGCTCTAAGTCGCCTTAGTCCTTGGACTAATACAGAGCCATAAGCTCTTAATCATTTCAAGCAATTGGCGTACGTTCGCTGCAATTCAATTACAACTTTGTTTAACACACACAGACACACACATACACACAACTATGCTTGTGCTTAAGTACTTAGAGTCGAGGCTGTCTTTCTGCGTTATTTGCTCAGACGCACATAACAACCTGTGGTGAAGAAGCTTTAAGTAAGTCTGCTGAAAGTATCTGAAAGATATATAGCTACACTTGATTTTTTTATTTTTTTTTTAGCAAGTCAAGTTTGTTCAGCTCGTTTTTATAATCACCCGTTTCTGTTTAATACTTTCGGATTGCTTACAAAGTTTTTATACTACTCGAACCGTCGTCAGAGCAAACATCGATGCGCACTCATGTGCCATATTAACTGCGTCCGCGTTCCCCCCATCCCCTCGACGACTCGCTTCCACTTCCCTTCTATTTTTTGTACACTCTAGTACTTTGCAGTGAGTGCCACTTGAGTGCAATACGATATATATTCGATTTATGTAATTTTGAGCAAAGAAATTTTTTAATAAACGGATTTTATTGACATTATCCGCCGGCTATTATTGGACCTTGTCGACGAGACGTGTGTGAGAAAGAGAACAGATATATTATTAATGTGTAGCAGCCAATAAAGGCAAGCACGCATACACACGCATTTTAACACATGCAACGCACACGCACACGCACACACACACACACACACATGACATTGCATATTTAACGTATTCGGTTTTGTGGATTATTTGCCCTGCGGTGAGTGGTTTATGACAAAACTTATTAGATTGGTCGATCTCTGCATGTGTAACTATTGTCAGGTTGTTCGCAACTTTATTGATTGCTTTTTCACACAGCTTTCGTCTCTATGAATTATAAATATCCGATAACTCAGAGAATTTTTTAAAATGCAGTTACGAATTTAGGATTGCCGTTTTTTTATGTTAGAAAAAAATTAAATAATATAAAAAGTTTCGGTAAAACAAATAAAAACTTTTCAGCCTTAATAGTACTAATGTAACTAATATTTATTAAATTTGGAATGTTTGTCTTGGCATTATTAAGCATTTTTATCAATAATCGTCAAGAACTTAGTTGGGAAAGTTTACCATTACAAAACTTTCTCAAGAAGCACTGTGTGTTTCAAATTCATTTTTTTTTATAGTTAAGAGCAGTGAATTAATAATAATATTTACTTCTACTTGTTTATCCGTTTTTTTATTATTGATTTGCTTACTCTTTAAAAATTCTTTGGAACTGAAAGTTATAGAAGGTATTTTTAATATATTTGAAATGAAAATTAATGTTTTTTTAATATTTTGTATATCTTTTGTATTTGAACAAGTGATAATTATTCAATTATAAGCGTTAACTGTCAGTTAACATTTAAGATTCTTACTTACTTTTAATAGGGTATTCAAATGTTACCTATTTACTTTATTACTGCTATTATTTTTATTTTTGGTTTATGAGTGGCCGCAGGTTTTGGATTATGTCCTGTCCTTGAAGCTGCAGGAAATTAAGAGTATTGGCAAATATTTATGCTGGTTATGGGGCAGGTTTGTCAAGCGGCAATCTGCGAACTGTGCAACACATTTTTCTTACACTCTCCCGTTTTTTCTTCGGCCACTGCCGACAACTGATAAGCGCAGTTTCGACTCCAATAATGCAGCAACGGCAGTGACATCAATATTAGCAATTGCAAAACAAGCAATAAATAATAACAACAACGGCAAAAATAACCCCATTAAAAGACTGAGAGTGCTCGCACCTACCTGGCAACGCGGTAATGCGAGCATTGCATGATATATTGATTTTTTTGCTGTTCTTGCTGCAGGCTCTGCCGGCTTCTGTTTGCCTCGAGCCTGGTGCTGGTTGTTAGTCATTGAAAGCATTGCGATTTGGGGGCCATTTGTCGGCATTTGCCTGTTCCGTTGTGGTGATAATGCCAATGCGTAATCCATCTCCATGACGCATAGTTGCTCGCCGCACACAGTTTACCCAGCCGGTTGAGCGAACCGTATGCGAATCATCGGTTTTCCAAATCCGAATCTAAATCCGAGAGCCGAAATTTGATATGTGCACTTGAACTTTGACATTTGCTTACTTTTCGTGCGGTTGGCGTGGCATGAAAACTTTGTCAATTTTGAGTTGAGAGCAAGCATTCAAACTGCCCAACAACATAAGCGGTTGCGGTTATATTTTATTCTATGTGTTACATGTGTGCATTTAAATAAAACACATTTGAGCTGGATAAAACACAATTTTAATAACTTTCACATCAAGTACACACCGAGAAATTGCAATAACACGCAGACGAGTACAATATACATACATATATGAATTAATTCAGCACATACAAATATACATATGTACATAGACAGTTCTTAAAAGCGTGCGCATTTGAGTAGTTTTTGCATGTTTTTGGCTAGCATGTGTGAATATCAAAGCATATTCGTATTTATCGCTGTAAATGCCATAGCTTCTATTAACTGTTAATATGATTTGTCGTTGCTGTTGCATATATTGAACATTGTAAGCTGTTAGGCTGTAAGTTAAACATGTATAACCTATGTGCTGTTCTTATGTGTTTGCCTCAAATTTGAAATGCTTGTCCACCTCAGCACTTCGAGCCGATTTTAGTTTTTTGTTGGCTCAGAAGGTAGCATGCCACATACATTTTTTCGGAACTTTCGCAATGTAAAGGAGGAATAATAAACAAAATATTGACTTTAGTTACTTGCGTTTTCTGCTTGTCGAAAGCTATTGCACTAGAGTCTCTAGGCGAATAATAGTTAGTCTTGCAGCGTCAAGTAACCCTTACTTAGATAATTTGATTATACAATAACAGCACACTATATACATATATATATATATATATATATATATATATATATATATATATGCTTTAGATATTTACGCTCTGCTTTTGTCTCCGAATTATTTTAATTGGCTATTTATGGGCTCAACTATTGGGTTAGCAACTACACATGACTGATGGAGTGTGTGTGTAAATTCGTTATAAATTCAGTTAAATATATATTAATTATGTTTTTACGCTAATTAATTGAACGAGACAAAAATATTATTATTGGGCTTATGCTAAACTTACGCAACACATGAAACTAACACAGAAGTTGAAAGCGTACAATGATTTGGACCCAGCCTTTTCAATATTGGAAGAAAGTAGGTAGATAGTCGCACATATAATCATATACATATATAAATATATATATATACCTATATCTTTTGTGGATATTGCCAATCTTCCAATTCCATCGTGTTAATCTTATTTATATATACACATACATCTAACTTGCTCTGAATTCTTTAAGACACAGGGAAGACTTTAGAAACATTATAAAATACACATACATTTTTATATGATACGAATACAATTATATGTGGGTGCGTGTGTCTGTGTGTGTGGATGTGGCTGTGTTCTTATATCTAATACTTATATATTATATATAAAAAATTGTTGCTTTTAGTTTGCTTGGTTTCCAGTTGCTATTGGGGCACGTGTGTGTTTGTTAAAGGTAAGGTTTAAAGGTAGGATAGGAATTACATTATTAGAGTACTCTTACTTGGGATTGTCACTGTTAAAACTTCGTTAAACGCACTACAGCTAATGTCTAGAGTCTATGCCTAACTAACTAATCTGGTATCTAATGCAATGCCACTGTCAATTCCACATCCATTTTCACTACTTTTCTTATTTAGTATTTATTTACATACCACTTTACCAGCTGGTCTGTGAGTTGAAATCTGTGCGAGTCTCTTTGATTGGACTTTGTGCGGGTTGATATTAATTAGTTTCTAGTAACTTTCACTTTCACCTTTCAATGGGGCTTACAGATACTGGTCCTCGTTGGTTTTCAGTTGAAATCAAATTTTCGCACTGCGGGCTCGAGCCGCATGCTTCCGTCCCAATAAAATTCGCTTAAAGGCGCGTCGAAATTCTGGATTGAAGATGGTATAGATGACCTGTGTAAGTGCATTAAGAAATAGTGAAAGAGAAAGGAAATGGATTTAATGAATTTTAGAGATTATAAGTAAATTCTAAATAAATATAGCGTAACGACTAGCTATATTCTGAAAAGTATGCATTTATTTCCACCAATTCATTAAGCTAAGAAAGTGCTGAAATACAACACTAAACCTTTGCCAAAAGCCCCTCTCCCTCAAGTATGTAGCTTTTTTGTTGAACAACTATTTGATTTAGCTTGTCAATTAATTTAGTTTATTTTGTTGCCCTTAATGCTAAAAAGCCCAAACCTGATCAAAAAAAAAGAACAGCTGTTATAGCTACGCATGTTTCAAATGGGAAGGCGTAGGTGATCAATCATCTAAGCAGAGTTACTCAGACTTGCCTCATTTGTTACACTCACTCAAAGAGCACTCTCCTTGCCCTTGCCCTTGCCCACAATGCTTGTCATATTGACGTATTGCAAGGTGGACAGATGGACAAATCGTTCGCTATTTCGCCTTGCACTACATTCGTTTACGTACCGGATTCAGTGTGGAGTTGAGGTAGCCGAGCCAGAGGAAGAGTGATGCAACAGCCGGATGAATTTCGCAGTCCTTGCACAGGCTCATTGTAAGAGCCATAACAAAGAAGGGCAGCCAGCAGATGACAAAGGCGCCGGTGATGATGGCCAATGTTTGGGCTGCCTTCCGCTCCCGTTTCGCCTCCAACAGCAGTCTTCGCTTGGCCAGCTTCTGGTGGGGATTAGCAATGCTGACCAGCACACCCTTTCCAGCAATGGGACTGCTGGCATTGCCAGGTCCTGTTCCAGCTACTGTTCCATCTTCTGTCTGCTGCTTGTTGCTGGCCAAACCACCCATTGCGATGGACTGCGCCAGCGGCGTAATGGCATTCAAATGAGATGCTATTAGATGCTGCTGTGTGGCACTTGCCACCTGCTGTGAGAGCGTTATGATTTCGTTAGCATTGCTTGTGCGGTACTGCAGAGACCCATCCCCATAGAGAGAGAAAGAGAGGAAGAGAAATTGCAAAACAATGGAAATGAATTGAAAAGTGCACACAAATGTAAAAAAACACAAACAATTAGCTCCATTTTGTTGAACAGGTGACCAGCAGAGGAGGAGTTACCCCCGAGCACTTACATCATCCGCATCGCTGGAAATTGTGGTCAGCTCAGTGCCCGCATGGCTCTTGTTGTCATAGTTACTGGTGCTGAACTCCGTCTCCTCGCGCGTTATCGCCAAGCTGGCAAAGTCAACGGCAATAGCGGCCATTGAACGCGCAACAGCACCCTCGGAGCCGGCATTTATACCAGCCGTATTTGAGTTGCGACCAAAGCAGATCTTCATGCGTTTCCGCGTCCGTCGCTGCAGCTGTTCCGTACCATTCTCCGTGTCTTCCAGTTCATGCTCTCGATTCTTCGTTCGTTTCGCCAGACGCCGCTTGCAACGCCCCTTTTGAAAATCACGGGTCGTCGAATCACACTGCGAAATTTAATTATTACATTACTACAATTAAGAGCTTTCAAGGAGAGGGTATTGTGTCAATTAATGTGTAAGGCATTGAAATAAAACTATCTTTAGATGTTGGGGGACATTTATCTGTTTTACGGAAAGTATTTACCGTTGAGGGGAAATTGAAATTATTATTGAATAAATAAATCAGTAATACTAGAATGTTATCCGAACTATACGGCCATATCGTATAGGGGCCATTATAACTGATGCTTAGAGATTGAACTCTTGTGTCAAAATTACCATATAATCTAGCTATTAAAAGTTTTACGTCGATCTGCTAGAGTATACAATCTTCTGCTTTTCGGGGATATTTATTTATCCTTTCCATTCCCCATCCCTACTCATTTTGCGCTATTTTCGTGTTTGATTTAGAAGCTGTCTAAAGCATTTCAAGTTGCTCCCCCGAGGCACATTTTGCTTTTAGCTCTACGTTTGCACTATACAACTATACAACAACCGCACATTTGCCACGCCCAAACACACACACACACATATACACGCTGCATAAATCGCTGGCTGCGAGCTTTTTGTCTGCTTTCAAGTGCTCACTTGGGTCTACCCTAATGGGTAGCAAAGGATTCGCATTATTGTTTCGGTTAATGACACGCTCATTATGCCTGGCTCAAATTTCATTAGACGGCACTCGCTGCGTATGCGTAACATTAGTCAAGTCGTAGCTAACAGCTATTTATCACTTTATTTGTAAATGAAATGTTCTTTTTTGAGAGTTACCTGTATGCATGTGGATAACTCACCTCGGTCTCCGTCAGCGTAACATTGAACGACTTTTGCGTGCGACGCTGAATCCGCTTCCTGGCAATTAAATAGATTTTCCAGTACAAAAACAAAATGACCAGTAGCGGCACATAGAAGGTGCAACATGTGGCAAATATCTGCAGACAATGCAGACAAAATGAATTAAAGCAAAATGAAAACAATTTATGTGAGTAATGTTTCCAAAGGTACCTGATAGGCCACATCCTGCGAAACCATGCAATGCTGCTCCTCGATGCGCTTCATATAGTCCGGATCCTTCCAGCCAAACTGAGGCGCCAGCGAGACAATTAAAGCGGCAAACCATACGCAGAATATCATAATAAAGACTCGACGAGGTGTTCGCAAATTGTTGTAATCAATATTCGTAACGGTCCAGTATCTGTGTGTTTGTCAATATATTGGAGACACGAGCCAAGAGTGTTAACATATAATTGCTCTACTCACCTGTCCGCTGCTATGGCGACCAGGTGTAGTATGGATGCGGTGCAGCACAGCACATCGCATGATGTCCAAATGTCACAGAGCTCCGGACCCAAGATCCAGCCATTGCTAATCTTTATGTGTTTATTGTGTGATAAATGATAGTGTGAATATGAATTTGAGAGCGGGCGAATGCAATTAAATTATGTCATTGCTAGCACGATGACGCAATTGAAATAATTAACAACGCGAAACGGTTCATTAAGCATACACACGCACACACACTACAACACACTTAGCTCTCTTGGCTGTTAGGCAAAGTCAACTCGTAATTTCATTTGCACGCCTTTCATTCCATGTTTCCATTAGGGTAATGAAGTTTGTGCTGCAGAAGTTGTTGCAACTGCTCGCGACAACAAAAGCAGCTTCAACAACAGCTACAACAGCAACAAGAACAGCAGCAATATCAACTTACCTCGTAGACGGCGCCAAGCGGCATGACGAGGCAGGCAACAAACAAATCAGCAACTGCCAGAGATGCGACCAAATAATTAGCAACATTCTGCAAGTTGCGTTCAAGAATAATGGCGGCAATCACAAATACGTTACCTGAACCCAGAAAGCAAGCGAATAAGGTGAAAAAATAAATTTATATAAATTTATAAAGTAATTATCAGTACTTTATATATATTTGTAATATTTTTAATTATACCTAAAAATACTTCTCAGCTGACTGAATGGTCGCTGTTAATCTCTCCCTGAAGACGAATTCTGACAGGATTTGAAATATATAAATTCACCAAATAATAAACAAACATTTAAATTTTTAACTTTGAAAGTCTTTAAACTACTCTCTACTTGCTAAATTTCTTAAGCAAATAAAAAAGCTTTTCATTTTGTACCCGCTAAGAAAAAGTTTAAAAGAATGATATTAATTTAATGCTCAATGCTCGCTCGAACATAACGCACTTAGTTGAAATATTTTCAATATCAATTACAATTTCAACTAAGCTGATTAAACTTCTTCCGGAATATTTAGCAATAAAAATATTGCTCGAAGAGTGCACAGTTTTTAGATAATCTTTTCCCAAGACATTTTTACAATACAATTTCTGGAGATGTGTAATTGCTCTTGAGCTCGACAAACTCACAATCACATCCAGCCATTAAATATAAAATGCATCTATTTTAATTGACATCTTGGGAATATTTAAAACTGTTAATTAAAATGCATGTTTAATGCAACTGTCTGCTGGTTAAACATATCAAATGCTATCAAGTAGTCATGGCGTAGATGACATTGAATCGAACAGCCTAGCTATGCTGAAATCAATCAGCGACTGAATTCAGCAACTATAACTGCGACTACCCTTGCCAAAGAGCTGTCCATGCCCTTACCGCAGCCCCTAATAGCACGCAATTGTGCATTCTATAGCACATGCCAGCAGAGCATGTAGGGTTTGCTGTGGGCGATGGGGTAGTTGCCGACTCTATCTATTCCAGTGTGATGCAAATGATGCAAGTTGGCAAATTGTAATTGCCAGTGAGGCATCCAAAAGCGTCTCTCCTTGACTTCCCCGTTCTTCGTTCCTAGTTGCCTAGCAATTGTCTGTTTGGGCATTGGGCTATCATTGCTGTCTCTGTTATTGTGCTCAGTGCTGAGTCCCAGTGCTTGTCTGCAGGTTATCAAAACGTTTTGTCGTCGCTTGGCTCGTGCCAGTTATGCATTTGCATATGCCCCCATCCCTTTGCTCTTGGCTCTGTATCACGATGTTGCGAATACGCAGCGTGTGCCGCAGATGTTCTCCGTTTAAAGATCCTTATGTGTGTGTGCATGCATAGTTTCGATTTGACGCATTGCCACGATTTTAATAGCTTCTCATTTGTCGTTTCTCGATGCCAACAACATCAAAAGCAAAGGAACTACATATCTACAAGCTCTTGCAGACCAGTGTCTATAGATATGAAAATCTGATATTTGAGGAAACATTTTAAGCATATCTTAAGCAAAATATATAAGTGAAATAAATATGAAAATAAATCAAATTAAATTTAACTAAATAAATGCCAATTATTTCCTCTGTCAATGTCCGGCAACAGTTCTGTAAATGTTCAAATAGGCAACTGGCTTTATTCAATTAATTATGTACACCCACAGCAGGAGATGGAACAAAAGGGGATATAGTCTTTGCGGTAACACAAACAGCCAAATTATGGCGGGGGAGTCTTCCCAATGCCGACAGCAGCCCTAAACTGAATCTACCTAATTTTAAATATAAATATATAACATAGGAAATCGATTGAAAATAATTTTAAATTCTAATCAACAATATTTGCTGTCTATATATTATTAATATTATGTATTTAACTTTTATAAATTGATTATTCATTAGTGAATAGTTCGGACCCGGCTGCAGGAAAACTAAAAATTGTTTTAGCATAAAGAGAGAGATCCAAAATGTATAAAATCGTTGATAACGAATATATAGTATATAGTTCAGAAATATCTGCTTCCGGACGGTACATATCCCGTGACAAATTTATTTTATTAATACGCAAGTGTACAACAAATAAGAAGAAAACGACAACAAAAACGCAGAGAATTTTTAAACTTTTTTCGCCGTTGTCATAGTTGTTGTCTCTGTAGGTTGTTGCATGTCGTGTGACCTTGTTGGCTTGGCCTCCAAAGCGAATCTTTTGCTATGTGCTCTGTACCCATGACCCATCAGCTGCGTCTAGGTGCGACGTTTATCATAAAGCTTTTTAATGCACTCTAATCTAAAGTTACCCTTGCCACTCAGCCCAAACCCCAACCCCATGAACCTCTACAACCAAACTCCAGCTGGTGGCATCAGGCAGCAAATCATTTTTCTAAGCCGAAAATCAATAACATTTTCAAGGAGCGCAATAAAAATCTTCTGCATCATAAATTTTACTTCATTTACAGTTCACTTCGATGGCGATATCTAAACATTTTCCACAAAATTCCCCGGCGGCATAAATTTGAGAATAATTTTAACGCCTCAAAATGAGGCAGCACGCCACGCCCACGCCCCCATTCTCATTCCCATTCGTTCAAGCAAATCGACAGATGGTGCTTCAAGACTTGAATGTAATTTTGATAGAGTTTGTTTTCCTTATTTATTTTTTTATTTGTTGCTGTTAAGTACTTGCCTATAATGGTGACGAGTATCATTAGGCCCAGCACAACGGCCATGGCTATCATTTTGACCAGCAGCCAAAACTCAGCTGCGGCACGCTCATTGGCGGCACGTTGCTCCTCCTCCAGTTGGGTAATGTTGATACTTGCATTGCTACTGCTGCTGTTATTGCTGCTGCCGTTGTTTAGGCTCTTGTTGCTGCTGCCAACGATGTTGCCGCCGCTGATGTTCCAGCTGCTCTGGTTGACAATGCTATTGCCATCGAGCTGCGTGAGGCTGCCATTCAGTTCAATGAAGAGACTCTCGTTGAACAATATTGCTGGCAGTTCTATTTCCAAAATGCTTGGCACATCACCAATTGCCCCAAACTCGAGCAATGTCGCTGGCGTTGTCATTGCGCCCAACATAATGTGTACTGTATATTTGGTTGCTTTTTTTGCCTTATATTCTTTGCTGTTGCTACTTGTTACCAAACGCCCGTTTTTTGCCAATGGGCGCGCCAATGTATGTGCGAGTGCTTAAAACAGTTGTTGGAGCTTCTGGTGGTGCTGCTGTTGATGTTGCTGTTGCTGCCGCTGCTGCGACAAGGTTCGCCGTAAGCGTCTTTGCTGCTGATGTTGCCGTTGCTGGCGTCGCAGCTGTTGCTGTTGATTTTGGTTCAGTTGTTGTTGCTTCTGCTGCTGCTGCTGGTGCTGCTTCTGGTGCTGCTGGTGTGCTTGTCGTTCGTGTTGCTGCCGTTGTTGCGGGTGATAAAGCGCCTTAATCGTGCTTGCCAAGCACTTAACACGTAAACTGAAATGGCGGGAGTGAGAAAGACTTTCAGTTAAATGGCAAAAAAACAGAGCGCAAAAAGCATGGATGAAAAACAACACTCACAAGAAAAAAAGACTCACACAGAGCTTAGAACATAACGAGACAAAAATAGCAAAATCAAAAAAAAAAAAAAAAAATACCTCAAATAAATCCATTTTAAAGTTCACTTAATTCGATTTATTATTTTGAAAGCATAAATGTTCTCACAATCTCACATAATTTATTTATAGCTGCATACTAAGTCCAGCTTCTAGGAGAATCAAACGCATATTTAATACATTTAAATTATAATTTATAATTAAATAAAAGATATTTCCCGCCCCACATAAATATTATAAAATACATTTTTGGTAGCTCAGACAAAAATTTACCAGAAGCCCATAACAACATTTTTCTGTAATTGTACAGAGCATGAATTTTGAAACCACTATTTTTCAACTTCGGTCAGTTTGGTCTAACAGTTTTCCAAAACATTTTCTATTATTCTTTTTGCTGCTAGTGTTCTATATTGAATTTGTTGTGCAGTGTAGCAGCATATTTACTAACTGCGTCAGCACACTCTCTTTCGACGACTGACCCCATCTTATTATTATCGCTGCCTCTATTGATTATCGCCCGCTTTGCGCAATCAGCGCTTTAGTTCATTTCACAATGTTGCTGGGAGTAAAACAAATTCTATCGGCGCTGCTGCTACTGTTGTGTCTGCTACAAGAGCTGCCACCTGCGGCCAGCCAGACTCGATTCCGATCGGACTCCAATAGACGCCTTCCCTATGAGTCGCCGCGGGAGTTTCGCTCGGAGCTGAGAACACCACCGTTTCATAATTAAAACTGGTCGAACAAGAAGGGACGGTATCATTAAACTTTTGCATGTTTGTTTAAAACAATAAACACGAGAGTGACAAGTTTTACAATAGTGTTATTATTTAATATACATATAGTGCCTCTGCCGCTCGCTCGTCGCCCTCTCTCTCTCTCTCTCTCTTTCTCTCTACCCGCCTCTCTCTCTCTTACTCTCTCTCTCTCTCTGTCCAAGTGTATATGAGGTGGCACCACTTGCCCTTTTGTGTGCATAAGAATAGAATGCAACACATTAGGTGACCTTTGTCTCTGTCAAGGTGCAGTGCGCGCAGCCACCCAAGCAACTTTCAAAAAAACACTAAGCAAACACATTCACTCATCACTGCTTTTGCATGTGTGGGTTTGTGTGTCTGTGTATAGCACACACATTCACAGTTTAATGTGTGCGGTTGCAGGCAGCACAAGATACACATAGACAGAGTAAACCAACTCGGAGGACAGCGAGGTGCGCCTATTGAGTTCTTACATTTAATTAGTCCTGGCTTGCTGCATTCATTTTTGAATTAGGAAGACTTTTCAAAAGCATTAAATATAAATTTTATTGTCAGCAAAGAATCCAAAAAAGAAGTAAACTTATGAGCTTAGGACCATATGCAAATGTAGATGCCAATTCGATCTTATTGAAAAATTCGGCAGTGATGACGAGGTTTACGGATTTCATAATCTTTGAGCAGTGCCGACCACCGACCCTAGTTAGATATTTTGTGTACCCTTTAGAACTTTCTATTCTATCTCTTCTGAGTTACAGACGTATTTCCCGAGTCAATTGCATATTCTTCTGGCTAATGCGACACAATCTGCTATGATGTGTTTCGAGGATTGCTCCTGATTGTCGCAAAATCTGCAGCATTCGCTATTGATTATACCTAGCTTAGCAAAGTGACCACTTAGACAACAGTGGTCTGTCGAGAGATATTGATATTACTTGCTTAATCGTTTGTGATTAAAGAACATTCTGAACCTAGTGCCTTTGCCCAGGTTTCTTGTTGCAAATGTCTTTGTTCGTTTCTCCGTTGTTGCCGTATTCTATGTACCTTCTAGGCTAACTGCTTTATAAAACCACACACTTACTGTTAAACTTGTTGACAACTACATTTCTCATTTCCATGAAGCAGCCCTCTCAGTTGCATTTTAAGTAGTTGCCACTGGGCTTAAAAACGCTACCTCATGTGTGGATGGTTTGCTTATGGCTGCTTATGTGACAGTTTGCATAGACAGGCTACAATATTAATGTTGCTAAGCGGCTGGGAAGATGGAGGTCAGTGAGCAGTTGTTGCAACAACAGCTGCAGCAGCAGGGCGATGCGCCCAAGCAGCTCATGTGTGAGAAATATTTTCATAGTCAAGGTAACCGCTTGCGACCCCTAAGCATGCCCCCAATTCACATATGCATCGCCTTGCTTTGCTCGTTCGGCTATTAATAAATGCACAAAATGTTTATCAGATGCGCAGAGCTAACTTTTCTTTTTTCTTTTTTTGTTTTTTTTTTTCGTATTTTCGATTTTGTTTTATTTTTTTATACGGTTTCTAGTTGTTGCCCACATTTTCCGAATCGTTTTTAATTATGAATTGCCAGTGGTTTGCTGATGGTTTTTGCCTTGTTTGGTTGCTGCTACCGCTCTATGGCTGTATCAACTTTTTGTGCGTAACAAAAAAAATACAAAATACAATGAACTAAAGGTACACGAGGAGGAGCGGCGGGGGCGAGACGCTTGTCAGCAGCAGAATGAAAAGGACAAACAAAAATGAAATACAAAATATATACACACATTTTGCTGACGCTTGCAACTAAGTCTGAAAATTGCGCGGTAGCAGCACGTTTGCTTCGCAGCTACAATCCTGGATTCGGAATCCTTTCTCGCTGCCTTGTATACACACACACACTTGCAAGCTCACACCAGCACACACTCGCTCACACTTGAATTAATTCTTATTCTAATAAATATACAAAAAGTTTTGTGTTGAATGCCTGAAACTGGCAGCGCCTTTTATGCTACCAAGCCCGCAGGTCTCCATCCCCCACGTTGTCCTTGTATCAGCATAATCTTTTGCTAGCCTCTGTACATACACATCATCTCTCAACCCAATCTGTCTCCTGCTTCCTAATCCTTCTCAGTCTACTTGTGTGGACATTTGAAAATATGTTGCCCACAATTTTAATTCTATTTGCTGGTTTCCATTGTCATCAACTTGTGAATCCTCTGACTGGGTCCTATGTACTGACTACAATGTGCCAATTAGCACTGGCTATTTATTCCGTAAAATGTTTTAATTAAATATGTATATTATATTTAGCAAAGCACTCCAAAGTAAAGCGCTTGCAAGCCAAATATCATATACAATTTCTATGTATGTAAATGCTGCAAATTGTTCAAATACATATCTCTTGTTGCCAAATGACAGTTTAACCCCCCCACCCTCCCCCCACCCACTTCCTTGCTGACATACAGGTCAGACATAATGCTTGATCTTAAATTGAAATCAACTGATATTATGGCCAGAAACTTTCTGACACTGACAATGGAATGTGACTGACAACAATCTGCACTCAGGCGAACGTTGGCCAACTTTTCAACATGGTATCTGTAAAGTTTATAGTGATGTCTTTACTAATTGCACTGGTCGGCGAATAAAGACGGTGAAGTCGGCATTGAAATACCACTCTGATTTCGACATAGAGAGAGAGAGAGACAGCGAGTTCATAATTGAACTAATCAACTAAAGCGCATACTGCCTTCTAAACTTTGTCCAGCTGTTTAACCTGGGGTCATGCAATTTCCCTTAACCGACAAAGCCTAATGCAGCCTTAAGCAAGTTGGAATGCCGCTATCAGTCTGTCAATACTTAACAATTTACTTGGCAGCTAACGAAAGACAAATATAAAATATTTGCTCAATTTCTCCAGAGATGTGATCAGTGCTCAGCTCTTCGAAATATAATGGTGTGAAGAGTGGGTTTGCTTGGCTGATAACCTTGACGTCAAGTTAAATATACATATTTAAAAATGTATATTCTTCATACTCACACATAATCATAATTATGTCCTTTCACATTCATTTTGTGCGCTTCATTAGCGACGCTGCAGCGCCGCAGGTAAATTCGTCAACATAAATATTAATGCCGAATGTCGCAACAACAACAATAACAACAACAAAAACAACAACCGTGCCACAGAACAGCCAACAACAACAAACCTCAACCGCAATTCAAGCAAATGTATGATGTGTGTGTGGTTGTGTTTTTGTTTGTGTTTGTGTTTTTGTGTCAGCTACTGATTTTATTTTATATAATTTTTTTTTAGAGTTTGTGTTTTTTTATTCGTCCTAATTATGCCGATTTTTAACGTTTCACATTTCCAACTGGTTAGCTTTAAGCTTCGAACTTGGCTTTAATTTTGATTCTTGAGTTTGACTTTGATTTTGATTTTGGCTTTGATTTTGATTTTGTTTTTGTTTTTGATTGGGTTTCTCGTTTAGCTAGAGCACTTTGGTTATCGCGTCACGTTTACTAACTGAATTTGCATGATGATTACTAAATGATTTCAGTCTTATGTGTGTGTTTGTGGGCACTTTAATGTCCTGTTGCTGTCTGGCGGCACATGCGTCTTTAACCTATACCCAAGCATAACTATTGACAAACTGCCTCAATGTGGCCGTTTCTGGCCAAATGGCAACAGCAGCAGCCGTACCAGCTGATTTCCTGTCGATTTTCCTAGCGCCTGCGCCTTGCCCTAATCACTCCGATCTCTTATACCCTAAAAGTCTACACACCAATTTAAGAGCGCCACCATTTTCGAACTCGAATCTCTTAAGCGTAAGGCTGCCTGTTGAAGGCTGCTGCAACAACAACATTTTGTTCCGTTTGTTGCGGCAATTAAATCATTGAAGTGCAAACCGAAATTCGCATAATCAAGTAACTTATGCCAGCAGTAACTGTTCGGATCCCGTTTCTGCATCAATGAAGCAATAAC